GTGTGTGTGTGTGTGTGTGTGTGTGTGTGTGTGATGATGTCACAGCCTGGCTGGTGAACAGATCTGTGGAGCAGCAGGAGGAGGAGGAGCTGTCCACGGTGCTGAGAGTGTGTTACAGTGTGTGTGTGTGTGTGTGTGTGTTACAGTGTGTGTGTTGCTGTGTGTTGCTCTGTGTGTTTCTCAGGAAGCCATTTGGCCTCAGGCAGAAAATGTCGGCTCTTTATGAAATATTTCTGTTTCCTGGTGTTTGGAGCTGAAGCAGTCAGACGGGTCCGTTCTGCTGCTCGGGGCTCCAGCTGCATTTCTGATCCAATAAGATTTGATTGGTGTGAGAGGTTCATCATCTGAACCTGTTCAAGCTTTATTCTGCATTTTTTGCTCAGATGTCAGGAGGAGGCAGATAAATAACCATCAGCTGGTGAATAAGCTGCTCTTGGACCAGCTTGGATTTAAAGACAGTTTGAAGGTGCATCAGGTGTGAATGAGAGAAAGGCTGAGCCGACGCTCTGCAGGGTCTCGTGGTCCAAACGGCTTTACAAGAACCTGTCCTTGTGATTTGGGAGACAGTGCAGTTGGAGGAGGTGTTCATGATCAGTTTCCATCTCTGTCTTCCTTCTGACCCACTTGACATCACTGTTGGACTCATCAGCAGCCTGTGCTGCAGTGACAGCGACTCCTCCATCACTGCACAATCTGTCACTTTAGAACCCACTTACATGTGCTGACAGCAGGCTGCCATGATGGCAGACAATACAACATGTCCTCAGAATAAGTCTAACCCAAACAACCACAGTCACACTGAGCTGGTTATCAGCTGGTTAAGTCAACCAGAGGTTCTGAATCTGCTCTGAGTGCACTCACATAAAAAGGCAGAGGACCAATCCCAGACATGGGCAGGAGAAGAGCTGAATAAATCTGCCATGAGGGCTGAACTACAGAGACAGGTTAATGTGTAAATGGTCTCCTTTCTACCTCAGTGCTGCTCACAGCGCATTGCAGTGTTTCTCATTCACACACATGAGAGCTCCATGCAAGGTCCTGCTGCCATCAGGAGCAGCTTCAGGCTCAGTGTCTTGCCCAAGGACACTTGGACTGTGGAGGAGAGCGAACCGCCAACCACTCTACCAGCTGAGCCACAGCCGCCCACTGTGAGCAGGTAAGCTGAGCCTAAAGTCACAGTGGTTCTTTTTTTATTTGGCTGCATCTCCACGGTAACTGATGCTGTGGAGCTACATCTCCAGGGTAACTGATGCTACAGAGCTGGGTCTC